TTATAATGTTATCAGCAACTGAGCTGACCCACAGTGCTGCATTCATGCTATGTCCCACCACAATTAACCCTGGTGTTTTCTACCTTACTGTGTGAAAGATGCAGTTACAGAGATCAACACTAGGCCACCTGCAGTGAAAACTTCAAAACTTAATGTCAGTCTGCCTTTTCTGCACAGATCCTATCAAGGTTCCATAATTTTGTCACTGAAGCAGAAAACACTTTCTTCACGCGGAAGAAATGAAAGCGATCAACTTAATGACTAGTCCAGGAAGGAAATAAAGAAAGGCTGGGTTGTTGGAAGCAGTTTGCAATATAGGGTAGGAGGAGCAGGAAAAAGATGAATATTTTTAATGGAGGAAATGCCATCCTTTGGCTAAATCGTCAGTGGAGCGCACCACTGAGTCAATCTGCCCTGCTGTCATAAGCTTCACAGGCAGTCTATTGAGTGATACAGAAACAATACGTACATTCCTGAGGCCTTATTGTATGAGACAGATGAAGTCAGTTAAGCAATGAAGGATGGGTACTGAGCTGTGTTAAGTTTTCACTGGTGAAGTTGAGGACCACACCACAAGGCTTTTACCAGAGTAGCCAAGAACAGTATTTCTGCCTTAAGGAAAATCTGAAGGCCTAACAGGTTCATTTCCAAACAAGGATGAAAAGCCAAAATACCAATTCTTCATGAAATGGAGTATGACATAGCCTAGAGAAGGGATGTGGGGAGAGAAGCAAAAGCTGTACTTTGCTCTCAAGCACTTAGCGGCTATTGCAAAAAGAAAGCAACCATTTCCTCCTCTTGTCTATGCAGAATAAAACAAGCAACTAGAAGCTTAATTTTAATTAGGCTCAGACTTCAGCTGCCTCTCATAAATTAAGGAGAGGAAAGAATGATTGGAAAGCTTGCGGAGCCTCTATCACCAGAGGGCTGTAAGAACAGATTAAGCAAGCGTCAGTCAGGAGTGGCTGTGAATCTTGAAACAGGAGAGGCCTCTCAAGAGAGGACTTAGCACAGCCTTACTTTCTTCTATTTCAGCCTTGCTGAAACATTTTATTCTTGACTGCATTTCAGTTTCAAGCTCAGAAGTATCTGAGAAGGACACGAGTTGTTGCATTATGTATATGAAAATACTGCAACATATTATCATTAATTTACCAGATTTACTACCTGAATTGTGGTAATTTGTTTAGATATACATAATTACAGAAAAAAACATTCATTAGTTGTCTGTGAAAATTCTAATTATGTTCTCAGGAAATGTTCAGATGCTGAACTTCCAGGGTGACAGATCTTTGTTAATATGAAGCATTGGCAAATCTCACTTTAATTTTGCATAGTAAGACTAGGCCTACCTTCACAAAAATGAGTACAATTATTAAGAACCCAACTTGAAACACTTATATTTGAAGAATAAAGTCTGTAAATACTGTGCCATCCACAGGCTATAATTGAAAGTTATACAGAGGTACAGGAGTGAATCCAGCCATCCATTCTGCCACCTTAGTGGTGGAAATACAAATCTACAATGCAGCTGTAAAAGTTACTTTCTAAGGGAATGAGATTATGCTGTAGGTTTGCAAGCTCTGTTTCAAGGACTGCATCTGCTTTGTACCTTCAGTTTTTAAATAGAACATATCTGAAAGAGCAGCATCTAAGATGTACGTTTGAATCCCCTGGATAAGGCAGTTTTCTAAGGGTGACATTTTTCTAGGTGTCTGACAAATACATTTGTAAGACTATTCTTTAATTATTTTTTGTCTTCCAGTTAATATACCTTAGTGTTGCTAATACCTTCCTCTAGGAGCCTGCCACCTTTTGATGGATGTGAGCTGTAGTGTTAAACACGAGTTCTGTTTTAAGACAAAGGAATGATATTGAGTGGAGAAAGGAGAAATCCTTTGCTCCAACTGAGGGAGGGCTTTGGAGTTGCTGAGTGACACTGCAGCACCACATTGCCTCTCTGCTAGGCAAATAACATCTCACAAGCAAAGAAGCTGGCTTAAAACTAAAGCCTGGTCGAAGGAATCTGTTTCTTAGTATTTTAAAGTGGTTTATGTCTCAGTCAAGAGGGTAACAAGTAAGCATTTTCAGTTGTGCTGGCTGGTCACAAGACTTGGCTGGAGGATAAGAAATGCTACTTTTCCTCATTCTAGAAGGTTTGGCTTTACCCAGTAGCCATGTATCTGGTTTTCTGAAGAAAAACCCCACACTGAGGCAGAGGAGCCTTCAACCCACTGGAGTTACAAATGTCTCTTCAGTTCACTTTTTTCTAGAGCAGGAAGCTGGTGTTACAGTATATGTCATAAAAGCTTCTGCACTGTAAGACAGATTGTAGTATTTATCATAGAATACCATGTTGGAAGGGATGTCAGGGATCATCTGGTCCAACCTTTCTTGGCAAAGCACGACCTAGACTAGATGTTCCAGCATCCTGTCCAGCCAAAATGTCTATTGAGTAGAGTTTGAGATTGGTAGATGGAACTGGAAAAGAGAAGGCTTCATGTCTAGAGCAGGCTTTGCAATGTGGAAGTTCTAAATTCATTCCCTAGGTCAGAAACATGCTGTTAGCACCATTTTGCCTTTTGGGAATTGCTTTTTTGTAATTAAAACTAGATTTCTTGCTTTGAAACCCTTTGAAACAGATTGAACTAAACTGAGTCTTGTCACTGAGCTGATGTGTTAAAAAATCCCATATAAAGTATCTGGTGCACAACTGGTGCTGGGTAGCCTGTTCTTGCTCTGTGCTGATCTAAATTGTCACGGAGGAGGAGCAGGGGTCTAACCAAAACCCTCTGTCCCCTGCAGACTAGAGCCCTTGGGAAACAATGCACTATTTTCTCTATTCTAAGTAACTGCAAGGGTAGATCCACACTGTAGTGTCAAAGGTGAATGGCTGGCTCAACAACAGACACTCTGTTTTGCAGGGAGCTGCTTGATTCAGCTGGGTTCCTTGGTGTAAGAGGAGAAAACCCAACCTCCCAGTGCCCCAAACAGCCCCAAAACACAATGAGCCAAGTACTAGGTGAAAGCAAAGCAAGGTAGAGGACACAAAGTGAAGTTATGTAGATGCACCTCTGCAAGCATCACATATGCTATAGCTCCTGCCAGACAGGCTCCTGCCAAATTCGCCCATGCCACAGCAAGACCCTGGACAGAATCTGTCAAACCAATTATATTCCAGTTAGAGTTGGTGAGATACAGGGTTGTTGTTTTAAATCATAGAATAGTTAGGGTTGGAAAGGACCTTAAGATCATCTGGTTTTGAGGATCTCTCATTTAGTGAAAAGCTTGGACTTAATCTTCAGGGTAATGTCAGCTGCCAACCTGAGATACCATACTATAGCTAGCTTTAGCAACACCCCATGGCAAAGAACTAGTTGGGCCTTGTATCAAAACTGAAGTTGTTTAAAGAAGTTGAGAAAATGGATTGAGCTGAGACAGTAACAACCAGGTGTATCAAAATACAATTTATTTTTAAAATTGCTAGTTTTCACATAACAGCATGGGTTATGCAGGGGAAAAAGTGCAATTAGTGGAGGAGGCTTGTTTCATGTTAATATTTATCATCTTGCTGCACTGCGAGTAGCTTCAGGCTCAGGATATTATACCTACCAATGGGCAAAAATGTGATTCATATTTTGATGTTAATACCACTTCTGTACAGCTAAAATGTGTGCCCAGTATTCACACCTGCTGAGTACATATTGGACAATTTCTCACACAAGTCTTGCATGAAACATAGATCACCTTTACAGTTTGACACCTCAGAAAGCTAAATTATAAGCATACAGATATAAAACATACATTTACTGAAGTCTAAAACAAGAAACACTTCCAAAAATGAGGTACAATAAAATAGTTTTCTATTTATGTGCAAGCCTATATTCAGTCTAGAAAAGAACTAGTAGCAACCCTACCCTTTTAAAGAAAATAGCTTTCACAAAGTGCAGCTAACTCACTGTCTTCAATATGAAGGACCTTGCCTACATTACACGCTTGTGAAAAGTCATCACTGACATTGCAAATGAGAGCAGGACACTCGCCCATCAGATGCTGTAAGAATAGGTGATGAGTCAAATCATCTAATGCTGCTACAGACTGAGAAGTTTACAAATCGCTTTTTGTCACCTGACCCTGTTTTTGGCATGTAGGGTGGGTTTTAAATTTTAAAAGGCATGTTTTTCTTTTAATGTTAGAAGGTGACCCTCTGCCTGATGAGTAGGATGATGTTGAGGTTAGATTTGTTCTCAAATGCAAGACATTTATTATTCACAAAGCTAATGAGGACAGAGATGTCTTCCCAAAGCAGCGGTCACTTCCAGCACTCACTTTGCATCATTTTTTGTATCCTCTTTTTTTATCTCATAGAACATCCTCTGGGATTTAGAAGACCAGCTTTGGAAAGTACAAATTAGAAAACTGCACATCCTACCTTTTCTTTTCCCACTTTCCCAATATTCTCTCCAAGTTTCTTAACCTGTATTGAAGCCACAAATCCTAGCTATGCCTTCCTACCTGCCTCTGCTACAAGCACATAGAGTCGTAGCAAGCCTCCATCCCATCTCTACTGCACACCTAATAGGTGTAAAATGAATTGTTATGTTCCGTTGATGTAACATCCCTGTGCACACACACACTTACTCATGTTACTATAGCTTGCTAAGATACCATTGCCTTCCGTACTTCTTCACAAGAGTCTCTCTTCTAGTGACTCAGAAGAGTCGACAGCAGAAAGAAAGCAGCATATACTTAAGATATGGACATGCTATTTCTGTAGTAGGTAGCATAAGCACTGGTTGTATCCTGGTTGCCTTCCTTACAAGGATAAGGTTTGGCTACGAACTTCAGTAGCATAACATGGTTTAACAAGTCCCACAGACTAGTGAATTTGATTTGTTCAACCAGCCAACAAAACCTGCCAGCTGGTTTTGTCTTGTAGTGTGTGAACCAGATAGCTAATACTGTTGCCAAATGGAAGAATGCTTCCTTGCTAGTATTGATCACCAATATGGTGATGAATTTTCAAACTGACCCAAGCTCTGCCACTGGGGGAAGAGACCCCTTGACAGCCTTGGACTACCAAGTTGATCAGGCACTCTCTCTTGTCCTTTCCTTGGAGTCTGAGGATCTACACAGTCTTTGTTGGCAGATGGTATCTGAACACCATCAGGCTTCCACTCTGCACGGAGAATCTTGTAATTCTGACCCTCGTTATTGTCCCAGAACGTATGACCTCCACTTTGGTAAGAAATGCAAAACTCTATCCTGTCTTCAGAGGAAATGGCAGGAGGCAAGTCAATGGTAAATGAGAAGGTATCATTTTCGGAATCACTGTAAACATTGTTCATGTACACACACTCAATGTCTGTGTAGGCCTTCCAGGTATCGAAGGTAATTCGAACCTGAACTTTCTTTTCAAAGCTCACGTTTTTTACTTTCACAGTGCCCGACAGCACCTTCTCTTGCAGGGTGCAGTTCTCCAGGCAGACCAAGTTCTTCTGCAGGCGGTTCCTGAAGTCCAGGTAGTCAGCTGAGGGCCGAGGGAAACCCAGGATCAAGTTTTCTTCCTCATGTAGCTTTAAGCCAGATGTTATATTTTCAATGCCTAAGAGGTCAAACTGAAGATCCCACCCAGGGTGCTCCTGGACCTCGGAGAAGGTGTGTATCGCCGTCAGGGACAGCCCTTTCGAGTCTGCAAACACAACTCGCTTCTTGGCTCGGGCTGCCGAGTGGTTCCAGTCACTCTTCTGAGATTCAGGGTCACGTTTCACGTGAAGACATGGTCTGAGGGGTTTCAATCTGTTCACAAAGTTGTTTCTTTGGCAGTCCTCAAGGGGACTGAGAAAACTCTTCAGTGGTGGAGAATGTGCTAAGCAAATTCTCATGGCCACGTCCACAGGCATGATGGAGCTTGGCAAAGGTCTTGGGTCCAAGATCTGTATCATTCTGAAACGATCAGAAAGACAGGATGTTATTTGTTACATCAGGTAAGAAGCTTCTTAAGAATGCATATTTGCTCCATCAACTGTCTTAATTATTCATGGCCTTGTCTTTGCATAGCTTTAAATAATGCAGCCTAAATTAAAATTGACAGTTCAAGCTAAGGAACTAGGGTGACATTATTCAGTCATTTCTTGCTCATGCCGAACTCTTTCAATTCAAATGTAGTCGTTTGCTTTTTCCAAATCTCTGAAAAGCAGATTTAGTGACAGCTAATTAAACATTTCCTTGAAAATAGAGAAAATAACATCCTAGTAACGAGCAAAACAGATACAGTTGCAGTAGAAGTGCTCATCCACTTCAGCTTCCCTTTTAGAGACTCTGAGACAGGTCTTAGAAGTTCCAGCAAGCTGGATCAGCTGCTTCATCTCTGAGTAGAGGTAGCACTATATTAAGCAAGCCACCTATCCCATCAAGCATCAAATGGGATGCTATGTACCTTGATGCAGAACCATCATGCTGTGGCTCTGAACAACCATAAGCATCAAAACTCTGGTTTTGGTTAATTTGGATGAATAAAAATGCTGAAGTACCTTTGGAAGTATTTTATTATGAGCTGTTAACCCAGGTCTAGGTAACAGAGCTCCTGCACTGTTAACTTTGACTGCTGAGTGAACGGGGGGGGGGAAGGGAGGGCAGGAGGCACACATTTTTTCACCTCATTGTGCTTCAAGAACTGGCTTGAAAACATGTTTTTATAATCCCCAAAGCCCATGCCAAAAGCCTACTGCAAGTATTCAGTGAGAATGATACAGCTTTATCTTTAAAGATTTATTCACAACCCAGCCTCTTAGATGTTGAATATGACAATTACTATGCAAGAGCATGGCCCATTCAAAGCCAGTTAACTTGATTATAGAAAGGGGCTATATTAACTTGATTGTAGAAAGGGGCTTCAACTGCAGCACATTCCTCCTGAGAAGGATGCAGCCCTTGCTGGAAATGCACTCTTGTTGAGTCATGGGAAGGCAGAGCATTTGCTTCGTCACTTAAATAAATGGCTTCTTCCTTCCCAGGGTTCTCACTGGTATTCCAGAGCCCAGCCAAAAAAAGGCAGGAACTGCTCTGGCCTCTTAATTCTTCTCTCTCCTCGCTTATTTTTTTTTTTATTTTTTTTTTTTACTGTGGCAGTATTTACCATAATAAGTAGGACGAGGAAAGTACCAGCATCAAGTTAATCACGTTTTGCCTTGCTTTAATAGGAAAAGCACAAAGGCTTCAAAAATACTCTCTCTGCATCTTCTGTGACCAGGTCCTAGGGCAATTGCCCCTTAGCTTTTGCAATGCCAGAAAACGAAGAGAGAGGGAGGAGAGCAAAAAAGAGAGAAAACCCATCAAAAACGACAGAGACCAGCCAACCAACAAAACCCAACCGCACAACCTGGAAAAGGCAGGCTGCTAGGAGAGGCACAAATGAACCGCCAGCGCGGGATGCGGCGGGTCAGCAGTACTGACA